CATTTACAGTGTAATCAGTGAGGGGATTCTGCAGACTGTTGAGGGTTCAGCCTCCTGATGAGTCGGTGAAACTCCGACGAAACAGTTTGTCACAGCCCCTCGTTTGTTGTCCTCTTCTCTCTCTCTGCCTACGGTTTACCGGTCAGTTCTATTTGTGACGATAAATACATATATGTCCACTTCTCCCTCTCTGCCTACGGTTTACCGGGCAGTTCTATTTGACGATATATATAATATGTGTGTATACAGGGTTGCCGGCGTTCGGGACGGGCCGAACGCCCGAACCCGAACGCCACCTGAACGCCCGAACGTACAGGACCCCTTCGGAAGGCGGTCGGCCGTTCAGGCCGAACGCGGACCAAAAAAACAAAAACAAAAAAAGAAAACAAGTTTTTAAAAAATTCCGAAAAATAAACAGGTTATGCAGAAAAATAAACTAAACAACATTTGCCTGGGCACTACATCCAAATTCTTTACCAAATTTGAATTAAAAATCAAATACAGAAAATAAACACTATGATAAAAAAAAATAAAAATAAAAAGAGAATTAAAATGAGTGAGTGTGCCAGCACCTTTTCGACACCGTTATGTTTGCCGATTTTTAATTATTTTTTGGCATTGACAAATGCCCTGAAAATTTACAGATATGTCGTTTACGTAATGAATAACTCAATAATTGTTTTTCAAAAAATAATAAAATCTTTTAGGCCCCGAAATAAAGTGAAAACAAAAAGTCAAAAGTGAAAAAAAAACAAAATAGTGAGTGGGCGAGCACGATTTGACACTCCCATCTTTGACGATTTTTAATGTTTTTTTGGCTTAGCAGAATGACTTCAAATTTTATAGGCGTGTAGGTTACATCATAGAGAACTCAGAAAAAACATTTCAGAAAAAAAAACTTATTTTAAGGCCCCGAACAAAATTTTGGCGGGGGCCGAACCTGGAGGTGTTCGGCCCCCGAACGGGACCTCGAACGCCGAACGTTCGGGGGCCAGCCCCAGGGCCCCCGAACGTTCGGTCAGGTAACCCTGTGTGTATATATATATATATATTATCTATTTGTGACGATATATATATATATATCGTCACAAACAGAACTGCCCGGTAAACCGTAGGAAGAGAGAGAGAAGAGGACAAGAAACGAGGGGCTGTGACAAACTGTTTCGTTGGAGTTTCACCGACTCATCAGGAGGCTGAACCCTCGACAGTCTGCAGAATCCCCTCACTGATTACATTGTAAATGATAATCTACCTTAACCAAAATCAAAGTAGACTATCACTCACCCACACCAGATGGAAAACTCTACAGACTGTCGGTTCACACCCCATCACAAGCCAGCAAAACATCCACGAAACAAAGGAAGGTTTGTCATAGCCAAAAAATACACTCCAGACACGCCGCTGGCACTAGAGGCACAGCATGGCCGCCTAGTAACGGCCCCGACCACTGCCGCTCGACCTGACCAGAAAAAACCGTAGCAGGAAGCTAGCGAAGTTGTAGTATATATCGTCACAAACAAAACTGCTCGGTAAACCGTAGGCAGAGAGAGAGAAGAGGACAACAAACGAGAGGCTGTGACAAACTGTTTCGTCGGAGTTTATATATATATATACTATGTAGAAAATCCGGACATCCGGCAGGCCATTTTATCCGGAATTTTCAATCCGGATGAAAATTCCGGATTAATTCTGGATTTGGAAAAATCCGGCCCTGGGGCCTCGTCCCACTATCGTCGATTTACTCTTCGGCTCCATGGTTTTCAACCACGTGCGGCGCGATGTGACATCCGGCGACCGTTGATCCTGTTGTGTATCGTAGGCGCAAGGCGATAAGGACCTATTTCGTGGAGGTATCTGTCCGCCGTCCAATAGAAGAGTTTCCTTTTCATTTTTTTGCCCATTCAGCTAGCCACTTTGCGTTGGCGTGAAGCTGCAATATTAGGGAGGTCGGAGGGGGGGGGCGTTTTTGCATCGATGTTGTTTTCTTTTTTTATGTGGTAAAATTGAGAATATTGAGATTTCCGTGGAAGACTGCGAAAAGGCCGGCGGGAAGGTAGCATGCAGATGTACCGGGTTGGTGGAAGTGTGGATGCACTGAAGCTCTGTCATGATGTGGATGTCAGGCCCCGTAATTTTTCGTTTTTTGGGTCCTTTTCTTTGCATTCGTGTAAATGATAAAAAACATTGTTTATGAGTTTTTAAATGAGAAAAGAACGCCACACACCGATTTAATTGATGGTAGTGGGACTTGGCCCCTGCGCAAAACATTTTTTTTTAACGAAAAAAAAAATAATTCAAAAAATTCTGGAAAAAAAGTATGTTGTTCACATCAACGATACGAACAACTTTTGGCTTGAGGCCACTGTTGATATCTCAAGAGATAAAAAGATACAAATATAAAACAGAAAAAGAAAATAATATTTGGATAAAAAATTATAAAACGAATCAAGCATCCCCCCTCTAAACCCCTTCATTCCCTATCTTACCCCCTTTCAACCCTTCCATGACTTATCAAGCTTTTTATGAAATAGGAACATAGTTTTATTGTATTTTGCATGCGCAGTATTACTTTTTTTTTTTTTTTTTTTTTTGCTTTTTTTTGGCCATTTTTTTAATCATCCGGATAATCCGACCAGATTATCTGGCCAGGTATGCCGTGCTACATAGTATATATATATATGAGTCGGTGAAACTCCGGCGAAACAGTTTGTCACAGCCCCTCGTTTGTTGTCCTCTTCTCTCTCTCTGCCTACGGTTTACCGGGCAGTTTTGTTTGTGACGATGATGAGTCGGTGAAACTCCGACGAAACAGTTTGTCACAGCCCCTCGGTTGTTGTCCTCTTCTCTCTCTCTGCCTACGGTTTACCGGGCAGTTCTGTTTGTGACGATATATAAACGAGGGGCTGTGACAAATTGTTTCGTCGGAGCTTCACCAACTCATCAGGAGACTATGTATATATATATATTTAGAGAGAGAGAGAGAGAGAGAGAGAGAGAGAGAGAGAGAGAGAGAGAGATGCCCTGTGTCGTGCATGCTTCAGAGGTATGGTTGATTCTAGCCGCCCTGGCTCCTGCTGTGATGAAGTTGCTTACCTGAATGGTTTTCGTCCTATAGATCAGCGGGAGGGCTGCTACCCGCATCCTTATGATAGTTTTCCTATTGGTTGTGAGGGTTTTAGGGCCTCGTTAGACCCTCCTTGGAAAATCCTCAGGAATTAGGATGAAGTCTTTGGAAAAATTTTCGGTTTTTGGCATCGTGGTTACACCGCGTCCTAATTCAATGGGTCCCAAGGCAAACCCTTGGAGGTCTCCAGCGGCCAATTTCATACGCATACACGCGGCCGCGGGGGTGGACGTCCGTCATCGTGCTGGGATGTCTGTGCATCCTCGGGCGTGGTCCAGTGGCGGCGGCGGGGAGGCTGACCGGGCTGACAAGAAAAAAGGGCGCCAACATTCCCGTTCCAATTTCAAATTTTGAACCCTCCGTTGTGACACATCAGTGCATGAGGAGTCTTGGCGGCTGGATTGGAGACCGGGGCGAAATGTCTGTGCGGAGGAGTGATGGCGGCCATGGCTTAAAAGGATGACATTGTAACGTTGGGCGACGTAGCGTGTATGCATAACGGTTCTCTATTGCGACGGCGCCTTCATGTTCCGCATGCTCTTCGGGTCGTCACAACTTAGCGTGAACGTAACGCTTCCGTGAAATGTGGAGAGTGCAAGCGCGGTCCCCATCGACGTGCAGAAGGTGCAACGAGGGCACCGGCGAGCGAACGAGTGGTGGGTGCTTGCGCATTACAAGTCCTGACGATGGAACGAGAGCTCCCAGGTGGTGCGAAGGCATTAACGACATTGGAGAGAAACATGGTGGTCGCAACTGTGTCAGTTGTCGCCATGCGTTATCGCATTGAGAGAACAACAACTCGCCTGAGGATGAGATTGTTCATTCGCAGGCAGAGGCAGTTGATGCAACAAGTGATGGATGCGCCCGATTCTGTATCGTTATCAGAATCCATTGTGCAATCTTGCTGCGCCATGGCATCAGGTGTGATCCCCCGGGCGACTGCGAGATGGTGGATGAGGAGAAGGACGGGAGGGACATGGGAGGATCTTCGACAGGTTGACGACGCGGCGGAGGGCTACTACAAGGAGAAGTTGCCGAGTGGAGTAGTCAATGGCGCACGTCGGCTGTCCGCTGGAGTTTTCCCGCCTGTCCATTGTCGTCTTCCTCACCGCTCATCGTTTCTGTCTGCTGCCAGGACCCCGCACGACGACGCACACGTGGAACAACACGACAAGGAGCAGGAGAAGAGTGGCCAGCAGCAGGAGCGGGAACCGCCGGAGGACGTCTGCCATGACGCAACTTGCGAGGCGTGTACCAAACAAAGCTTGCATCAATGCGCCCAACAATAGCCGACAAAACACGCTAGGCAGATGCCTGCAATCGACTGACAGTGCTTCAACATCGCTTGTAGAAATATAAAAAAATTCGACCGTTGGACACCACGGCCGGCGACGCGCACATAGAAAACCCTGCTTCGTGAAACGCCTTGCAGCTGCAGAACCATCCCCCACGCCAACGACAACGGTGGAAGGCCGTTGGGGGCCCGCCGGGTACTGGAGGCCGGCAATGTCCATCTAATGGACCACAAACGACCTGTGCACCAACATCGACTCCAAAATTTTCCGCCGGCGCTCGCTCCAGAACACTCCATTAATCGCGGGTCCTTGAACCCAAGGGACCTCGCGAGGACCCCTTGAATCCAAGGGCATTTTGGCTGGGGATTATGAGGAATCCAAGGAAATCTCCCGAGAGCGTTTTCACATTCATTCAAGGAATTTGGTGAATTAGGACACTGTGTAACGACGCCGATTTCCTAAAAATCGGATTTCCAAGGAGGGTCTAACGAGGCCCTTACTTATACGCACCTTGCACCCAGACAACAATGTGCAGGTGCGCTGAAAAGAGTGTACAGGAATGTGCAAAGGTGGGAAACTCTTCACTAAAACTGCAAAACAGTATAGACAATGCAGTAAAAGAAGAACATAAGTTTGTCTCATCTTACCTTGGAGGGTGTTTGTAGTACTGTGTAGTAAGTTTGTACTTTGCACCCCCTAACACCCTCCAAAGAAAAAGTCCGAAGGGTGAAAATGACCCTAAATGAGAATAAAAAGTAAAGAGGGAGTGCAGGTGCGCTGAAAAGCAAACGTGGTAGACTCTTCACCAAAACTGCAAAACTGTGAAAGAAAGAAGAATACAGTAAAAGAAAGAAGATGTTTGTAGCACCTTTTTTTTCTCTTCCTCTGCCTATCGATTTTCCTCTTCTGCTCCTCTCTTCCTTGTGTTTAACCTCTTCTTTCACTTGCCTCCTTCCTGTAGTTTGCAAGTGGGCTGTTATGGCATATGGGGATGGGGGCAGCAGCTCGCGCTCAACTTCATCAACGTGGCGAGCCTTATACGTTAGAGGCATGGCGGAGGGGGAGTTAAGAAGACTGAGAAATTGAATGATTTCAGTGTGTCTTTGTTTTTTATTTTTATGATTTTTATCCTTTGTTCAGTGTAAAAAGTTCTAAAAACGTTTTGGTAAAACACTGAAAGAAATAAGAATACAGTGATACAAAGAAGAAGAGGACACTGATTTGTGTCATTCTAGTTTGTCTGGCTCTTTGCCTGTCTGTCCTTTTTTTTTTCTTTTCTTCGCTCATCTTATTTCTTCATCTACTTCATGTGCTTACACTCTTAGTCAATAGTTCTGTGACAATGTATATAAACTCCGACGAAATAGTTTGTCAGAGCCCCTCGTTTGTTGTCCTCTTCTCTCTCTCTGCCTACGGTTTACCGGGCAGTTCTATTTGTGACGATATATATATAAACTCCGACGAAACAGTTTGTCACAACCCCTCGTTTGTTGTCCTCTTCTCCTCTCTGCCTACGGTTTACCGGGCAGTTCTGTTTGTGACGATATATATACATATATATATATATATATGTCCTCTTCTCCCTCTCTGCCTACGGTTTACCGGGCAGTTCTATTTGACGATATATATATATATATATATCCTGATGAGTCGGTGAAACTCCGACGAAACAGTTTGTCACAGCCCCTCGTT